TGTGGACTACCTCGAACACATTGCAAATGACGATATATCATATCTTTATTCATAAGAAATTTCATTTGCATTTCATCCAAGCTTTGTTTAGCATTCATTGGTAATTTTTTTCGGAAAGCAATATTAATTCCGGAGTATACTTGTTTCAAGTCACCTAAATACTGTAGATAAAAGATGTAACTTGAATCTGAAGCAAAACGAGAATCTGATGAAAATAAATATGCTTTACAATATTCTTTCCATTTAAGAATTGTTTCACGATCTTCGTCATATGAGCCTTGACCATCTGGAAATAAATGAGGAAAGGCTAATGCTTCAATTGTTTTATCTGTTAATAATGAACTTAATTTATTTTTTTCAGCTGGTGCTACTACACATGGTTCTTTGTCAAAGACTAAAAAATCGTTAAAATCACATGGTTGAGTACATAAACCTGTACCAATATTATATTTAGTACGAATGTCTTGTTCATCCTCATTTATTTCTTCATCACTGTCAATAGTATTATGAATATCACCCAAAGCTAATCTTTTTAAACGATTTTCATTAGATACTTCTGTTTCTTCAATGATATTTTCTTCTGAAATTGTGTCAACATCCATTAATTCAATTACTGACTCACGGTTATTTTCATAATCTTTTTCTTGATCAGAAGTAAGATAATTTTTATTGATTTCATTTATTTTAATGTTTTTATAACCTGGATGCATCTTAGTTAAAATAAGTAATGCATCTCTTACGTCATTTGGATTTATTAATTGCTCTTCCCATATAGCCTTATATTTTAGTCGTCGTTTTAGTTGTAACCTAACCATCATAGATTTATCAACTGGTCGTGGTAATGCCGTTACAGTATCTTCTACATCTGATGGTACACAATGAAGTGGTCCTTTAGTGCCTTTTTGTGCTAATCTACTTGATAACTTGCCTGATGTTAAGTTTACAATTTTCATAAAAGGTAATCTTAAAGCAATTAAATGCTTTTCAAGATTATTTAATTTTTTTAATTCAGACGGAACGTCACACACTTTCAACTTATTCACGACTGCTCGGCTTGGCATTTGCCGTTTCTTTATTTTGCCTGAACATAATTTACAAATCCACTTTTGTTCTATTGGCGGTGAATACTTAAAGTAAGATTGAATATGTTTTTTTATTTCATATGACATGTTTTCTTTTATATACTTTTCTACAACAAATGGTATTACCTGATTACGAAAAAGTGCTAACCGACATGATATACAAACACAATCAGGTCCTTCTCGAATAATTTTTCGAAACTCTTTCAAATTCTCTCTATATATATTGGTGTGTTTAAATGTACATTTATGACTTTGAAAAGTAACATATTTTTTTAAAATACGTCTACGTTGATTATAAAGTTGTCTTGAATTTCGTGTCATCAATGTATTCTTTTTATGGTACCAATTCATTGCACGTTCAATTGTTTTCAATCGTATCATGGGATCAGATTTATACTTCTTCGAAACTTGTTTTTTTAAACGTGCTTCATATTGATTGCGAAATTCTGAATTATTATGATATTTATTTAAAATGCGTCGGCTTGCGTGAGTATTATTTTCAACACGAAATTTTGTGTTATTATGATATTTCAATAAAATATGTGTTTTTATCCACTTTTTTTCGTGAATACGAAAATCATTATTATTCTTATACTTATCTAGAAAGTATTTGATTGCATGTTGTTTTTTTTCTTCTCGAAATTGAGAATTCTGAGAATATTTGTTATTTGACCAAATCTTCTGTCGCTTGTGCTTCATAATCAATGACTCGTTATTCATAGAAGACTTTGACATCAACTTTCGTTTTCGGTTCTGTATTTGTCTCTTTCGTTCACAATCGAGGCGACAGACTTTGGATCAAGGGGGAAAAAGCGAGACTCCCGTACTTCCTCGTACTCCCTTGTACTCCCTTCGTACTCCCCTGGTACTCCCTTCATACTCCCCTCATACTCCCTTGTACTCCCTTCGTACTCCCCTGGTACTCCCTTCATACTCCCCTCATACTCTCCTCATACTCCCTTGTACTCCCCTTGTACTCCCTTCGTACTCCCCTGGTACTCCCTTCATACTCCGCTCGTAGTCCCCTCATACTCCCTTGTACTCCCCTGGTACTTCCTTCATACTCCCTCATACTCCCTTGTACTCCCTCGGTATTCCCTTGTACTCCCTTGTACTCCCTTGTACTCCCTCGTACTTCTCTATACTATTCTGTTTTCTTGCAGTATTTTTCTAATATAGTATTAAAGGTTCGTGTCTACTAGTTAAGAAAATTTCAACTAACAATGAATCTGATAAGAGCGATCGAAAAATATACGTAAATAAAGTGCAATAACTGACGTTAATTCCAAAAATTGTTTTATTCCGCATGTTTCACTCTGGAAAATTGAAAATTGAATTTCTCCATTTATTTTTTAAGTGTAAAAGTGTTCGTGTTCAAACAAACTATCAATAAAAAAAATCTGCATAAAATAATCTAGTTCTATAAAAGAAAAAGATATAATGATCCTAAAATAAATATATATAAATCATAAAAAAAGCTAATATCAATCCTTTTGCAGTTTAACACGTTGAACACGATCAGATGATAAACGAATCTGTCTGTCTTGCAAATACCAGGATGCTGTTGCTTTGTGTAAAAACATTTTCTTGTTATGCACGCTAATTGGAAAATATTTATGT